TCCCAGGCAGGGAGCAGAGGAATTTCGGGGGTGAGGATGGAGTATTTAAAAATAATAAAATGAAAGTCATACAAGAGGTCCCTTGAGAGGGCAGGTTGAGCAATTTCAAGAGAAAACATGGAGATGGGAGGAAAACAGGCCATAGGGTTGGGTGAAAGACACCAGTGGGCTTGTTTATAGAATAGATGGGAAGATTTAAGAAACTATTCATTTGAAAATATTAAGCACCCAAGTACCTTAAAAATAATGATAACTCTAAATGAGTTTTTTCCAAAAAGGAAAAAGATAAGGAGACCATGCAAAGATTATCAGCCTGTGAAAGGTTTCTAAGATATCCATGTATCAATTCAATAATTTACTCATTCATCCATCGACTGGCCTAACATGTACACATGTTAATAACTATTATGTATCAGGCACTGATAGGCATGGAACAAACCAAATAGACATGGTACCTTGTATCATGGAACTTTCAGTCTTGTAGGATAAATAAAATATTTAATAAATGAACCCAAATAATAAAAAGTTCTATTAAGGAGACAGGAAGGAGAGTTAATAGTAGACACAAAACAAGAATCAACTTGGAAAAAAGTGTCATGTCTAAATAGATGACTTTCAGGCTGAGATCAGAATGATGAGGAGTCAGCCCTGCCATGACAGATTGGGAAAGGAAAGAGGGAGATTCTTTTCTTAGCAATGATAGCTCCAGGATATGGAAAGGACCTGTGGGTGGAAGGAGCTTAGCACATTGAAGGACTAAGAAGGGGCCAATGTGGTAGCAGAGAGAAGTCTGTGAATGACTTATGTATTTGACTGTTAGGAACACAGTGATCACCACAGAATAGGTGAGAAAAGTGGCACAGAAACAGGATGGAGTAATGGGTTCAGTCCCATCCTTGCCTCTAGCACAGCAGCTTACCTTTGAACTGGGCTCAGCCACTTTAGACCTGTGTGACCTTGGACCAGTTATTAACCTCCCCATTCATTTAGTGTCTTCTTCCGAAAAATAGGGGCAATATTAGTACATATCTCATAGGGCTTCAATGAGGTGTAGATGACATAATTAATGGAAAGTTCCAGAAGAGTAGTCAGCTAGTGGAGGTGGCAGCAACAGCAGCAATAGTTCCCTATCAAACCCTTCCTTTCATTTCCACTCTGGGTTAAATGTAACGGCATGAGAGAACATGCAGGACAGCGGCTGAGACCTTATAAGCACTCAGTAAAAGTCTCACCTTTCTCCCATCTCCCATTTACCATGAGACTTCCTGGGCTAAAATCCTGAGCCACAGCAAGGTTCACTATACTGAGCTCATGCCAGAAAGAGGCTGACACATCCCATCTGTTCCCATGGGCCACTGCTGGCATGAGATGCTATTTCTCTTTCTTCCTCTACCTTATGTCCTGAGCTGAGCAGCAAAGCACAGAAAGGCTTTTGTTCTGTAGCACTTCACCTAAGAATTATTGTGCAAGGTAACTGAAAGAATTGCCTTTGACAAAGAAAGGAATTTGGACCACTGATAATTAGAGGAAAGAAAAAGCAGTCAATAAAAGAAAGTCAGACATGTGAAATGATGGCATATAAAATGCAAAGACCAACCATGTCCATGATAATTTAAGAATACTGAATGTGATAAGGCAGTGAGTGACCTGGGTAGATCTACATGGAAAAATATAGGTAGGCTCTCTTGAGAGCATGCAACCCAGGAACAGGCCCTAGCACACAGCTCCTGATGGCAGGATAGCCAGTATCCTGCCCAAAGCCTAAAACACTGTGTCTTCAACTTTCTTCTTGCCCAGTTTCTTTCACTGCAGAGCGTACTTAAATGACTGCGAAAAGGAGAATTATTTTGTTGAGACAAAAACAGGCAAGCTGAAGGCATGGAGATACATAGCATCTAAAAGATTTGCACAAGTTATAATGCCAGTAAATTGTGGAGTGGGATTCAAGTCCAAATTTGCTCCCCTATACCTCACCAGACTACCTGTTTCTTGTCCATCCAACACTCATTCTCTTTAGACATTTTCTGTTTGGTGTTTCTCACTGCTATTGAAGAGATTTTAGAGAATAAGCCTGGCTTTATTGTTGTTTGAAAAATGTTCTCCTTGAAAGAAAACACATGGGGAAGACTTATCTTTAAGTTGCCATGGGGTGGGAGAAGTACAGTCTCTGGGGCCTCCCAGAAGGCAGAGAAAGCTAAGATCCCCTTCCCCCACTTCTCAGGAGTCAGCCTGAGCACCTCTGGGTCAAGCACAATTCTGTCTCCTGCTATGGCTTTCATTATCATCAGCCCCTACCTCCATCTTTAAGATGAACTAAGGGAGGGTTTGCAGGCAGCTAAAATGTACAAAACTTTGAATGGCAACGCTTTATTTTCATTAAGAAGCACAGGGCATGGGAGGCACCAAACCTCAATGAAAGGAGCGAGTACCCCAATGGTATGTGGTCCATTCTGGGCATGAGTGACAGGCAGTGAAACCGGTGCCTTTAACAAGGGAAGACTGGGGTGTGGCATCATGGATCTGAGCTTCTACCTCATCTCTTCTACATTCTTATATTGTGGCTTTATTCAAGCTTTGGTTTCAGTTTCCTAGCTCTTCCCCTCATGAATTGTCTCCCAGAAGGATCCTGCTCATGTTCTCTGAGGGCATCTCTTCTGCTTTCCTCAACTCTTTTGCAGGTCTGCAATGGTGTCTGGCACAGTGTAGCCACTCTGAAGACTGATGGAATGAGTATAACAGTAGCAGCAACAGGTGTGGGGCACTGGCTGTGAACCTTACACTTCACATTGTTTATCTCATTTTAATTTCCTAACCCCACTCTAAGGCATAATACCAGCATCATGCCCTTTGATGGGAGAGACTGTGACTTGTCTAAGGTCATAGAGTTGGTAATATTGAATGGGAAACTCCATCTCAGTGTCTACCTTCTGTCTCCCTAGCCACACTAATCTCCAGAAGCCAGGCTCTATATCACCACAATATACTTCCCAGAAGGAAGAACAGGGAAGGTGGAGGGAGACATCAAACAAGATTACTGGCAGTGGACTTCTTCCTCTACCTGCCTCCTCACTTTAAAGGTGCTTACCTCCCCACTTTGAAGATGCTCTATTCTCCATCTGAAGCATGGTGGAGGGAATGTGTGTGTATGTTTATGTGCCTGTGTATGTGTGTGTGTGTGTGTGTGTTAGGGGATGGGGAGGCGAGAGAAGTTGCCTTTATCAGTTGCATCTTAGCACCTTTCCTTGGTAGTCACTTTGCTGGCATCAGTGACCTCCTGAATTTCATCCTCAGCCTTTCTGCTCTCTCCTGGTTTCTGGCTATAATGTTCAATGGTTACTGCTAACCCTTGGTTTCTGGGGCAGTGAGATAGCTTGAAGCCTGGAACTGAGCATTCTGGAATCTAAGTGATGCTTAGATTTATCTCGATTGATTGACTGATCAATTTTTACAATCATTCTATCAACAGGTGTTTTTTGAGAACCTACTTACTCTTAAGTGTCAGCTACTATGCTGGATGCTAGTGAAACAAAGATTACATTGAATGCTGTACATTCTCTTAAAGAAAAGAGAAAACCAACTGTTATTGTACAGTGTGGTAAGTGGTAAGCTCAATATATAAAAGTATCAATAAAAATATCACATCTCCTTTCATTGGTCCTTCAGTGAGGAAACTGAGGGTCAGACAATTGAATTCCCATTTTTCTAAGATCACATTATAAAAAGAGGAGGCAGGACTTCAACCCAGGTCCAGACAACTATGGGATAGGTACTGGATTTCAACACTGGGTCATTCTACTTGTTCATTAAGTTTACAGGCTTGACAAATACCTCTCCCTTTTTAAGAAGCCCCCACTGTCCCTATTTGTCCATGGCATCATGGAAAGATGGACCTAAGAGGATAATCCTATAGGCAGAAAAGAACAACATAGAGTTGAGAGCTCCAGCCCTTGGACAATGCAGCGAGGGTATCTGTAGACTCAGAAGAGAAGAGGTAGTGTCTGAATTGGGATTTACAGGTCAAACCTTTAACCTATCACAGAGACCAGCTTTATAAAAACCATGAAGAGAAAAAGCAGCAATTTACCTGTGTAACATATCTCTAAAGGAAAATACCCCAATTCTATAAATAAGCTGGAGTCCTAGACACTTAATAAAGATAACTAGAGATGCATCCTGTGCTTATGTCCAAACAATCATCATCCTCCAACAGAACAAAGGAAATGAGCCTTTGCAACAACATATATGATAAAAAAAAAAATGAGAGGTGTTAGTCAACAAAACATCTAACATAAGCCAGCAACAGTTGAAAAAGCAAGTACAGGCTCAAGGTGCATCAGCAGAAGCATAACATCTGACCAGAGGACACCGAAAGCCCCACGTTGCTCCCACCTGGACAAAGAAGCATATTGGCTAAGGTATGATACTCCAGAAAGAAAAATGGAAGATCTCCTCCTGGACAATGCCCTGGATGATGATATCTCTGAAAAGTAATGCATACAAGACAGCTGAAGGAGCTCAGTCTATTTAGGTTGATTTATAGAAGTTACAGGTATTTTTTGTTTTTCTGCTGTCACACTTCCCAAGAGATGCCTTGGCGAAGAAAGATCAGATTCTCTTTGTTTGTGGACAGGGAGGAGCAAGGACACAGACGTTAAGTCCCAGAGGAGGAAACCTAATAGTAATTTCCAGGAATGGGATGAACTCTCTTAAGTAGAAAGAAGGCTGCCAAAGAAGGTCTTCAGAAAACACCGAGAGGTGTTGGACCTCATATAATCAGATGCCCCTCAAAACTCCAGTACCAGGAACACAGACATTCTTTTGCTCTCCCAATCACTACTGAAGGACCAGAGAAGACAAACCTGATAAATCCAACAGAGAAATTGGCCCTAAGACCAAATGGACTTAGCTAGGAAGACACTAGGTCCCACAAGCACCCAGCTCTTGTGCTTCTTCCACCTCCCAAAATGGCCCTTGGAGAATGGGATATGAGAAGGACTTACCTTTCTTCTCAAAGTCCATCTTCTCTTCCCCTGGCCGTCCCAAGCTGTCCAGGGTATGAGTCACCTGGCTGTCAAACTCATCCTCACGGGAGACGTGGTTGGCCCGCCGGGGTGGGTCCTCCTCCTCCTCACAGTCATAGTCATCCAGGATGGGTGTCTCCCGGATTGGCACGCCAATGACAGAATTGTGTGCCTGCAGCCGAGAGGAACGGAAGCTCTCTCGGGCCTGGGGACCCAGCAACACTGATGGGATGTAGTGGATCTCGTGCGTGGCTTCTGTGCTTGCACTCTTCTGGGGGATGCGGCGACGCTTTTGCCACCGTCGCTGGGCATACAGTGCCACCGTGAAAACCAGCAGCAGCAGCAATAAAGCAATGAGGCCACCCTGGAGCAGGAAAGAAGAAAAACAAGCAAATGGACTACTACTCTTTAGTCTGGAATGCCAGAGGGGATTTTTCCATCTACCATGCTCAGTCTGGATCCCTGGCTATGGCTTACAGAGATTCAGGAACCACCAGTCATACCTTTGAAGCAAGAGAGACACTGCTTCCAAACTTGGCTTTTTCATCAACAAACTGTGGATCTTGGGCAAACTTGATTTCAGAAAAGAGTCTTGTTCTTCTGTCTTCACAAAATTAACATAAGGAACAAATGAGATGGATAATGGCCAAGAGCCATCCCGCTTACTCAAAGTGATTTCACACATACCTGTTACTGGAGTCTGCCTCCTACCAGCTGAGTGACCCCAGAACAGTTGCCCTTGCACTCTCAGTCTTACATCCTCATCTCTAGAATGAGCTCCCTGAGGTCTCAAGAGAAAGTAGTCTTTCCTAAACGCTGCTGTGAATATAAGACACTATTATCAAATCAAACATAATCTCTACATAATCTTTATTTGCTTCATTTTTAGAAACACTGATCCTTTAATATCTGATTCTCAAGAAGGGGTGTGGGACAAAGGAAGTGCTTAATAAATATTTGTTGAATAGATGAATGAATGAGTGAAAATGCACCTTTCTAGGACTCCCTTAATCAGAAGTTTAAGGTAAAATGTTTATCTTGAACACATCTAACTCCTATGTTCATTTAGGTTACATCACTAATTAGAAATAAGCTAGTATGTTTTTGGAGGCATCTTAAGTGATTCATGAAGTACATGAATCTGTGGTTCCTGAGTATTCTCAAAAAATGTCTGCATCTCCTAGACACCTTCCCAGGCCTTACAGCAGATGTCTTCTCTTTGACCTAACCTCATTTCCTTTGTGTCACAAACATCTCTGAAGAGACTGCCCTCATGGGTTAGCTTGTGTTTTTTTTACTTTATATCATTTTTCATGTTTGGCAGACTGGGGGTCTTGGCTGTGTAATTCTTTAGATTGGAAACATTGTCCTCTCCCTCATTATGTAAGAAAGAGACATGGCTTAGAAACTCAGATGGTGAGCAGCATAGCAAAATCTGAGCTACATCTTAAAACAAATTATTAGTATGCATTAATAATTCAATGGGGAAGGTTCATTGTGATAATTCCATAGATGTATATAGTGCACTTTGAACAAGTTCATCTCCTCTATTGTATTCCCCAATCCTCCATCCTCCTCCTCTGCCTTTTAAAAAATGTTTTGATGGGTTTCATTATGCTATCTTCATCCATATACATTACATACTTTGATACTTTTCACCCCCCCCAGCAACTCTCCTTTCTCACTCCCCTTCCAGTTGATCTGTCTCCAGATATATATTCAAGTTCCATTATTATTATTATTACTATTGTTATAGATTCCATGTATGAGCTTGGTTTATCTCAACATGATACTCTCCAGTTCCATCTATTTTCCTGAAATATGACATAATTTCATTATTCTTTATAGCTGAATAATACCAACATGGTGTACATATACCATATTTTCTTTAACTGTTCATTGGTTATTGGGAACATGAGCTGATTCTATAGATTGGCCATTTTCACTATGTTTATTTTATTTGTTTTGCTTCTTAACTCTAAAGCCAGTATTCATTCAATTCCACCTGTGTGGTCCATAGCTTCTTCTTGAGCATGACCTCACTAGAGGCAAAGACAATGCCTGGTAACCATCTGGAAAGCATGTCATACAGAGGACCCATTGCATACATTGTCTTTGGGGAAAAGATACCTGCTTAGGCCAAGAAGAACTCTGAGCCCTATTCATTAACATGCTCCACCTGTCTGGCTGACTAGACTGGCCCTGGGAAGCTATCCTATTCTACATGCAAAGCACTCATCTCACTAAGCTGGAGGTGGGGAGTGGGTGTGTCCGAGGACTAAAAGATGATCAGGAATGCAAGTACAGCTGGCAGCAAGAAAGCAGACACCAAAGCCCTGCCTTGACCTTGGCAGTGAGGTACTTCAGGATCCCCAGAAAGGATTCTCTGGGTATCAGAACTTAAAACTGAATAATTTAAATCAAAGAAAGTCTGCATATCTATGTACATATTTATGTGTGTGTGTGTGTGTGCAATCAGTCAAATATATGTAAAATGTGTGAGTCAAAAACTTCCTTAAAGAAGATGTGAGCTAATGGATGTGGATACCTATTAAAGCCTGGCACATAGTAAACACATGATGTAGGAAAATTTTCAATCATAGTATGCACAAGGTTGTTGTACAAACAAATCTGAAAACAGATGTTGGATTCCTTACAAATTGAAATGTGCTGCCCATGCACAATAGAAGTCAGGAGAACCAACTTGGCTGCCTCTGACCTTTGAGACATTCCAACCAAGGAAAGCAGATGAGTGGCCAAACAAAGAGAAACTGGATTCTGGATCCACATGGACAATCCTGGTCCAAGGTGCTATACTGACCCATGCTTAAAGAGTCCTACTCACATTTCTTGTCAGGCTTCCTTCACCATGGGCAAGCAAACAGAAAAGCAGGAACAATTGATCAGGGTGAGCTGGACCAGAGTTTCTGAGTATGTAGTAGAATCAAACGTAGGCCCTGGAGGTGGAGAAAATGTGCAGGACAAGAGGGGACCCAAGGAGGGAGTAAGCAACAGGGACGAGGCTGTGAATTTCCAGAAAGTAAGTTAAGAAGAGGCCAAGACTTGAGGGGTGACATGCTGAAGCCCTGTTGGCCTCAGGACCAACCTGATGCCAAATCCAATTTGGGTGGTACTCACTCTAGGGCTGCCCGAGACAAGGCTACATAAGAACTGAAAGTTCCAGAGAATAAAAATGCCAGTCTATTGGTTATGGCTTTGTTCCTGTGAGAGAATATGCTATGCAGGTATGGGGGTGATTCATTTTACCTCCTCCTTATGGGTGTGAGAATTTCACTGAGCTGTCAAGCATGGAATGTAGAAATGATGAGAGAGGGGAAGTGAGTTCCCATCCCTTCTGGAGTCTTCCTTCCACAAGTCTCTCTAGGCAGGATCTGCCTGCTCCTCCTGTTCTATGACTAACAGTGAGTCTCAGATTCCCTGGCAGAGCCAGACAAGGGTGAGGGCAGGTGATGTCAAGGGCAGAGTGGTATGACAGAGAAAACTCATATCTGGGGCATATGAATCCCTGACTGCCTGCTTGCTGTTGAATGTGACAAATGTACTTTAATTTTTTCACATTCTGGGGCTCCAACAGGCTCCCTTTAAAATGAGGATGATTGTTCTCAATGTGCTGAGTTATGCTAAGGATTAAATAAAACAATAAGAGATGTGAATAAATGTTCTAACATCACAAAATTTAACAAACTTAGCCTCTTTTCTTCAGCTTCCTTATTTCTGTATTCCCACCCAAATCCTTATACCCCACTCTCTCACTGAAACTATTTCTTGGCTTCCCATGGTCCACAGAAGTGAGCCTGGCACTCAAGGTACTTCATGTCCTTGCTTCCTTCTTATAACTTGGCTCCCAGGAAGCCTCACCTGGGCTACATGGCATACCTCATTCTGGATCCACACTGAGTGGTTAGCATTCCCCTAATGTACAATGTTCCCTTGCTTGCCCTTAAGGCTCAGTTAGTCCAAAGCACTCTCACTCACTCCCTTCTATGGCTTGAATAATGATCCCCAAAACTTATGTCCTCCTGGAATATCTAAAGTTTAACTTATTTGAAAACTGGATCTTTGCAGATGTAATAAGTTAAGATGAGGTCATAATGGATCAAGGAGGGCAGGGATTGAAAAACTGACTATTTATAAAATAAATGATAAGAAAACTGACCAGTGGTTAAATAGACAATATACAATCCATCATTTAAAAAAAATGGTGCCAACGGATCAATATAAATTATGCATCATCTTCCATGTAACATCCTGGCTATTTCTTTCTAAATGTACAGGCAGATTTATTAAAGCTAGCTGTATTAATTGTATCTGTTAGTCTATACTACCATCTGAACTTAATATTTGAATGGACTATAATGTGTCTTCTGTTTTTGAATCATTAGGAACAGAGGCATGATATAGGGGGACTGCTAGAGACTCTGTCTTAATTCATGTGAAGAACAGCATCATTCTATTTCTCAAATTGTACTTTGCCCAGTTTCTACTTGGTATAAAAAGATTCTTTGAAAGGGCTTCAAAAGCTGTCTTTAAACCCTTATGAACTAGAAAGTAAATTAGGACGAGTAAAAGCCATTGTCATCTCTGACTAGGAGCTAATGTGAGACTCCTCTGTTGCTGATGCTCTGGATGGCCACCCAATCTTCTCTGATAAACTTTGACAATCAGCGTATCAGATGGAGTCTAGGGCATTTTTTTTTTCAAATTGCAGTCTGTGATTACCCATTAGGTACTGTGCAATTGTTGGTATGAAACAGCATTTAAAAATATGTAATAGAAAGCTGGTATGATGGTACAAGCTTATAAGCCTAGCTACTTGGGAGGTGGAAATCAGGAGGATCACAGTTCAAGACCAGCCCAGCTCTGGCAAAAAGTTCAGAAGACCCCATCTCAACCAATGGCTGGGGATGGTGGTGTATTTTTTAAATACTGCCTACACCGGGAAGCAAAAATAGGAAGATAGCAGTTCAAGCAAGCCCAGGCATAAAGTAAGACCCTATTTGAAAATTAACCAACACAAAAAGGACCAGCAGAGTGGCCCAAGTGGTATAGTGCTTGCCTAACAAACACAAGGCTCTGAGTTCAATCTCTGGTGCCACCACAAAAAAATAAATCTGTAAGTATATATTAAATGGAATAGATTAAAGGAATAAGGAAAATGTGTGTGTCCAAAAAAACAAAAGGAGAAGAGAGAACTCAGAGACACAGAGACACAGAGAAAGTCATGTGAAGATGCAGACAGAGACTGACTGATGCATCTACAAGGCAAGGAAGGCCAATGACTGCTTGACCATCACAGGCTGAAACAGCTCTCTCAGAGCCACCTGAAGGAACAAACCCTGCTAA